CTTGTAAGACTTGATCTAGAACTTGGATCGGCTGCGAAGGCGTCCTATCAATAATGACAACACCGGGGTATCTTTCGCCTATCACTTTCATGATGTGTTCGTAGTGCGGCGTTATCTGTAGAGTATTGAGATTATACAAGTAACTGCAACTACAAAGTTGTGAATATACCAGTAGTTTATGCATATCAAAAATGGCAGAATAGTCATCCAACCAATAAACGGTTTCACCACATTACTCTACGGAAGCTTTCAGACTTTGCAAGTAGCAGCGCGTCGACGCGCTGTAACGAGCTACGTCACAAGTTGAGTTTGCTCCAAATCAAGAGACGCGAACGCAGCCGCATATGGTCAGTCTTTAGCGACATCATTCTGCGTGACTGGGCAACACCTACCATCCTATTCCTCCAAATTCCCTTGAAAGACATCCGGCTCGCGCCCATCGACCGAGCTTTCGCAGACAGGAATGGGTCGGCGCAGGCCGTCTGCGGCTCCGTTCGCGTCTTATAGCTTTGCAGAGCTGTTGTAGTTGTAGTGCCTCGTCGCGCGTTACAGCGCACCATCGTGAAGTCTGAACGCTTCCTATTGCGTCGTTACGAAAGCCGTGCAAAAGCAAGGATGAAAACGCATCGGAACGTGTAGCTCAATTCATGGTCAGAGTCATGCTCAACAGTTCTCGCGACCTGAGCAGTTTAGTCGCGCGGCTGCAACTGGTCGCTAATCATTGAATCTCAACAATTTACTCTCTGCCAACACTACAGTTTTTCAGACTTTGCAGCAATCATAATCGCGCGACTGAATCGCTCGAGTCGTGAAGTATGAATGCGGCTTAAGCAAAGCTCTCATTCACGCTATAATTTCAAAGCCTAGAATATGTGCTATGTATGACATACCTCTTTCAGACGGTACCTGAGCCGGTTAAGTTTGTACTTTGTAGGGTTTTCATCTTTTCTCAACGAACGAAATATTGCCTGAAGGTGGAAGAATTAAAAATCTCATATTGAAAATGGAAGATCCTTGGAATGCCTCGTTATGTG